AGATGTTTACTTGAGGGGTATTTGCAGGCCTTAAACTCAGGTTTTCCCAGAGATCCTCCAAGCTTTCTGGTTTGACAGGGGTAGAGTGAAACAACAAGCTCTTCTCATGTCTGAGATTGAAAAACAGGTTTTATATACATTTTATACAGGTTTTATATACATTTATATCCATATATAACCAAACTACCACGTAACATAGATATGAAAAACTGGCTGAGATTAAAAAAAACCATATTTTCTCTATATAAATACTTATATAACCTTCTCCCCGTCCAACACTTTCTCCATCCAGGTCACACAGGTGAATGTATGATACCGTAAAGAATTCTTTGCGTGCAACAGTAGCACACAAGTGCATAGTTCCTTCTCTTGAAACTTGCTTGGGACTTGTCACAGCCAGTATTAACAAGCTACCTCAATTACCACAGAAAAAATTTAAGAAGAGGAAACGGTTAAGGAAGGGAAATTATTTTGAAAAAAACCCAAACAAAATTTCCCCCTTAAAAGCACCAGTTTTAAGACATTATTCCTGATGGCAAAGTGAGGACAAAAATTAAGAGCTGTTCTCGAAAAATGTAGAAGGTAGTTGCTCCGTAGCAACATCACCCTAAAGTTATGCAGCTTGGTCGTGCCATCAACCAATGGAAAGCTTCAGAACCCTGTCACACCCTTCTGCGTGTTAGCTGGTTCTTCTCACAACTGCTTTCACATGCTATCAAGTAGATAGCCTAACAACTCCAGCCACAAAATTACCACCTCCAAGCATATTTGTTTAATTTCAATTTCTATAGCCCCTTTGTTTTAGGGCACTGCAAAATCCTTCTGGTGTTCACTACCTTTGCTATGTATGTATCAACAGATCTGTTCCTTTCCATAAATGAAGAAATGTAATCCAACGGATCTGTGCCTTGCCCAGAAGAAAAACCACCTTCATTCTCACTAACAGAACATGAATAACCTTGTTTCACAACTGTTGGTCAGATACACTCCAAGTCTTGTTTAAAAAATATATTCATCACAAGAGCTGATAAGTACCACATTTGATTAAAGTGGGTTTTATTATCATTAATTCTCCTCTTTCTAAATAAAGACTTGGGACAGTTTGCTTTAGCACATACGAAGAGCTGGGGGGGGGGGGAAGAAGGGAGAGCAGAAGGACCGAGGAACTATCCATTTCTAATCTCTGCTTCTAGAATTTTATGATCAGTTAGGCTGATGCACCAAAGTCCACAGCTGCTACTCTCATGAACACATCAATCACAAAAGGTATTTTCTTTTTTAGGTCAGTACTACTTGTCATCTTCAAAAGTGCGTATTGCTAAAACTACTCTAACTAACATACTTTCTTGTAAGAACATGTTTGAAAATGAACACTTGACAAAACAATGTTTAAGGAAGTGACATGACAAAGTGCCAACTACATCGCTGTGTGTTCTGCTTTGTGATGGTTTAGTTAGCACCAGGGTTTTCTTTGCCCACTCCTAAAGAGACAGGGAAACAAAACCTCACCACTGTACTTCCCTCTGGTTCTATGATGGCATGCGATAGCATAACAGCTCAACAGCCCGATACCTAGCCTAGGAACAAGCCACACATGCATGAAGAAACAGTTGAAAACATTTCAAAAAACTAAATTTGAAGTGTAGTAAAGCTAAAATGATAAAAGAAACAATTTATCTGCTTTTTTTCCTTAAAAACTGGAAGGATTACTGGCTTATGCCAGAGCTAGGTGTGCAGCGAGGAAAGGCTGTTCCATTGCCTCAGCCCGTGTGATGCCCTGAATTCCAGCTGGTTACATTGGTTTAGAGCCCAATAGATCAGTATCTGTAATGCACTTAATACCTGCCCTCCTCCCCCCAAGGCAATGTGATAACAGACACAGAAAACAAGTAACTATGCAGGCTGAATGATTTAATCACTTCAAATTGCTGTTTCCTACCTATATTCCACCCACAAACATCTGTACAGTATCTACTTTTTCCCTCTCCAGGTCCTGTAACTGTACAACAGTTTTCCCTTCTCTCCCCCAGAAAATATAATATTTTCCTATTGTAAAAAATTCATTTTTGCATTCCACATACTAACCTGTGTGGTATATACTGCTGGTAATCTTTATCAAGTTCTGTTTGGTTTGAGACATTTGTGAATCTGTAGAGGCTACTGCTACTGTCTTCAAATACAGACCGTTTGTCTTTTCCAAAGACCCTAGTTGAAACAGCCTCAAATACTTTGTAATCCATCAGTGCTTGACACACGCGCACTATTTTAGCACGGGAAATATCGACATCCCCAAAGTACTTGTTCTGCAGAAGATGGGCAAAGACAACATCCACCGCATCCGAACCAATAAAACAGTCATGATAGCACTTCAGGTTCTGGCGACGCTTTTTCACTTCCACTTGAGTTTGAAGTGCATTGATAATGCTGCTCCAGACATATGTTGCTCCAAATGGTTTCTGTGCCAAGCTAAAGCCTAAGAACAGAGAAAGCATAAAGATTGAATTCATGCTGCAATTAGAAAAGAACTGCCCCCTTTGTAGCTACTAGCTTTCATGAATCTCGTAAGCATTTAAAAATCCTTGAGACTTCCAGTTTGGCTTGGGTTGCTCATGTATTAACATTTTGTTAGTTTCTTGGCACGCCTGTCCTCATCGTACCAACGTATCGCACTCTGGTGGCTGCTCCCGCAGCACTAGCCTGCAGCTTTGCAACCAGGACTTTCTACTTTTTCAGCCTGTCTCTTAGGCACGGTCCTTGTGCATTCTCCTCCGTCACCTCATGGCTACACTTGCAGAACCTACTCCTGAGCACACACCTACCAGCAACCAAAAACTAGCTGCACGTACTCGTAATTCCCCAGTTCCTCTACTAACACTGACAAAACTATACAGCTGGGCATGGAAAAGGGAAGCAGGGGTGGAGACACACATCAGAACCCTGTTTCTTGCAGGATGGTGCATACACAAAAACTACCTAGTATCAGTGCTTAGCATATCGTCACTAATGAGCTCAAGAAGTCTCTCAAGACCCCACTCACACAACCCTTATCCCACACGACAGCCTTCTACCACCACAGTCCCAAGCTCTGTGTACTCAATGCCACTTCCTTGAGCCAACCAGCCCTCCCTCCCCCAATAAAGCCACTGAACTATTACTCATTTACCAATCTGATTAAGAATAGCATGTTAGCAACTAACAGTTTGACCAGAGGCTAGACTCAGCCTCCACAAGGACTTAAAAATACAGGATATACTTACAAAGTTTGCAGGTGGCTCCTAACTGGGAAGAGTTGCAGCCACCAGAGAGGCTAGAATTAGAATATGTGTTTCTCAGTGAGGCAAATGAATAATTTACTAAGAGAGAAAAGCAGAGGAAGAGGAGAGAAATCAAAAGCTGAAGGACAAAATATGGTATGAGGAGTTGGCAGCAATCCTACAGAAAGCCATCTGGGGTTATGACAGACCTCAAACCCAATGAATTAACAGTGTGATGCAGTGTTTAAAAAAAAAAGCAACAACATGCAGCTCATTCTGGAACATATTACCATGAACATTTTCCACAGATGCAGGAGACAGTTTTTTCTGTTTGGTCTGAAGTGACATTAGAGAATTGTATTTCAGTTTTGGGCACCAGGACTTCCAGCTGATCTCCAGCTACCAGAGAGCCCAGAAATTGGCAGGGGGAGGCACAGGGGAAATTAAGGGGGCAGTAAAGATTGAAGAAAAAAAAAAAAACAAACAGAAAAAAGCAGGGAACACAAAAGCATTTAAATACACTAATGCTATTATAAAGGACAGCAATGGTTACCTTAAGAGTGATTATCGAATTAGACATCTGCTTTATGAAAAGAATTTTATCAAGAAAATAAAGTTTTTTAATACAGGGCATTGAACCAGACTAGGTAGAAACCTCCCCGAATCTCCAGGTTCCAAAGCTTTAAAAGTACAAGACAGGCAAAGCATTTACTTGAACCTGATGACACCTTCAGGTAGGCAGAACTAACAAAACATTACACAGAATTTCTTTCCAGCCTTACGTTTTGAAAGCCGACTAGCCTGCTCGGAAGAAAAAACCCGAAACCCAGCACCTTGACCAAACACACACCAACGCTGTTTCTGTTGCTAAAATAAATACCAACACATACTGCCTGTAATAACTCTACTATTAGCCACCGCTTTATCACCTCTTCCTTCCACACACACCCCCCAAAAACTTTTTTTGGGGGAAGTGGTATTTAGCGCGGCATTAGGTATTGAAGTGACAAGGTTTCACGAAGTTAAGGTGCTCGAGGTGGGGAAAAAAAAGCAGAAATTGTTCTCAGCGAGCGACCTTTAGCCCTGGAGGTTGCACCGAGGCAGCCGCCCTTCACCTCGCTCTCGGGCCAGGCGCAGCCGCCCCGCGCCCCCCGTTTTGCAG